CGTGTGTGTGTGAGAGAGAGAGAGAGAAAGAGAGAAAAGAAACGAAAGAATTATTGTTCGATCATAAAGCGAAAATTTCTTAGACACGCCTGACAGGAGAAAAATTGATAATTAACTTATCAGCAGCTTTCATCTAAGCAAAAAACTGTTTAAAAAATAAACAGTGCATACAAAATTTATATAATTAAAGTAACAAACGCTACAATAGGCTTTTGTTTATTCAAACTTTATTTATTTTGAAAATAATTCGTCTAATAACATATATATATACATTAAAACAGTACAGTTTCAAATTAGAGCGGAACACAGGACAAGTAACTAAATATTCTACTGTGTTAAGTGGTGTTAAAGGAGCTTGGAGTCTGATAGTGACACTCTGTTTTGGTGTTACTGTTTGTATCATTAGCATGTTATACGTATTGTGTGCTGCCGTTAGCTAGAATCTCATCAAAAATCTGGTTTTTGAAAACAATTCCAGGAAGTTATAAAACGTTCTTTTGAACTTCTGTTAGTTCAATGTGTTTAAACATTTGGTTCTTTTTTATATTCTTCATAACCCTAACGGGGATAAATATATATATTTACCCGGAAAGCAGGTTTCTTCTTTTGTTTGTCGTTAAGCCCAAAGCTACATAATGAGCTATTTCTTCTGTGCCCACCACAAGTATCAAAACCCGATGTTTAGCAGTGTGAGCCCTCAGACTTATTGCTGAACCACTGTGGGGGGGGGGGGGGTATCGCAACCCAATTTTTAGCGTTATATGCCCTCGGACTTACCACTGAACTACAGAGATTTTGGAAGTAATAAACGTGAAAAATGTTTGATACACTGACTTTGTTCTTAACAGTTTCGCAAACATTCTAAGCAGTTGCATAAATTTAGAAAGTAAAAATTAATAGTGGAAATTATATACTTAGAGAGCGCTATCTGCTGGTGGAAATTATCCTAAAAGCATTACCTGCTATTATGCAAATTGATCAGTGACTTATTTTTACTGTCTTTCTGTCTTTTATGCTTCATCTAGAAACCCTTCTGGATGTGCACTCAAGAATCGCTAACACTGACTCTGCATAAAACGAGTTTTCATACCGTGGAAAAGTTTGGTTTGTTTTGAATTTCACGCAAAGCTAGCTACTCGAGGGCTATCTGCGCTAGTCGTCCCTAATAGTGATAGGGAATGCAGCTGGTCAACATCACCTACCGCCAGTTTTAGGACTTTTCTTTTTAGACCAAATAGCGTAACTTGACTGCGACTCTTATAATACATCCACGTTACGAAAGAGCAAAGCGCGATTTATTTATTTGGGGGGGGGGCGGTAATGAGATGTGATTGTTTTGGTTTGTTTTGAATTTCGCGCAAAACTACACGAGGGCTATCTGCGCTAGTCGTTCCTAATAGTGATAGGGAATACAGCTGGTCAACATCACCAACCGCCGATTCTGGGGTTGTTTTTTAACAACGTATAGTGGGACTGATCATCACATTACAACACCCCGTGGCTGAATTGGCGAGCATGTTTGGTGACGGTGGTTCGAACCTGTGACCGGGCCACATTGTAAAAAGTGTTGTTGTAATAATAACTATTTAATTAAAGTGATGAATTAATAAAATTAATTAAATAGATTAACAATGTTATTAATGAGCAAATTAAAATATATTATGCATTTGTGTTTAGTACATCAATTTAATTTTTACCATTTTGCAAATATTTCAGAGGTTTTAACTTAGTGCACGTGTATGCTTTTTAAAAGTAATACATTGTTGGTAATTCTTCGTAGTTTATCGAAGTTTGTTTGTAATTAAGCACAAAGCTACACAATGGGCTATCTGTGCTCTGCCCACCACGGGTATCGAAACCCGGATTCTAGCGTTGTAAGTCCGCAGACATACCGCTGTGCCACTGGGGGGCATTTATCGAAGTTAAATTAATGGTTTAAGAAAGTGTTACCAGAACTGTCTTTTTAGCGACAATTTACTTAAAAGTCTTTGATACTTGGCATGCGTTCGAATCCCCCATCCCACCAAACATGCTCGCCCTTTCAGCCGTGAGGGCGTTATAATGTGACGGTCAATCTCACTATTCGTTGGTAAAAGAGTAGCCCAAAAGTTGACGGTGGGTGGTGATGACTAGCTGCCTTCCCTCTAGTCTTACACTGCTAAATTAGGGACGGCTAGCGCAGATAGCCCTCGTGTAGCTTTGCGCAAAATTCAACAAAAAAAAACAAGCAAACTTGGCATGCGCCATCTGTGTTGGAACCGTTCCATGCTCGGAAAGCAGAGTAGAACGATTAGGCTTAGACTGTATTTAAGATACATGTAATGGGAATGTAAATAATATGCCGTTTGTAAAGAAGTACACAATGTCACAAGCTAAATAAATCTAGGTCTAAGATATCAAAAATAGTATTTATTGGAGGTATGATTGCTAACTTCGATGTTAGGATAGTTTGTCCAACCAAAACAGTTGAAAATAATTTCAAATGAACTATTTATTGGTAAAGAGTATCCCAAGAGTTGGCGGTGGGTGGTGTAGACTAGCTGTCTTCCCTCTAGTCCTTCACTTTAAAATTAGGGACGGGTAGCACAGATAGCTCTCGAGTAGCTTTGAGCAAAATTCAACGCAACAAACAAACAAAACAGACTTTACATATAAAGCGACAAGGTTCTAATGTTTCTATGTCTTTTTTTTTTCATTATAACTCCCCCCATATTTGTCGTATTAAGCATCTCTGCTTATGTCAGGATAATTATAGTCTTTACAGTCATTCATGGTCTGCTGTCTAAACACATGGAACTTTTCACGTTTCGTAATAAGAGATCGTCAATCACAATATCGTGATGACCCGAACCTTGAACTACAACGTTCAAATCAGAGAGCTCCTTCTCCACACTTGCACATCACGTGAATTCAGCAGGTGAGGTGGCGCTTCTATTGATTAAAATTCCATTCATACGCGCAGCAACAAATTCATTGCTAAGGTTAATTGATAGCTTAACTATTGCATAATAACAATAAAGACATTACTTCCGGAATTCTCGTTGTTTTTTTTCCCTTGGATGCCCACGATCGGCACTATCCTTTCCAAGGACACCTCACACAAAAGCTGTTACTATACATACACGTAGTGACGTAGCCTCACAATTCGAGGCCATGGTGTACAGTTGCTTCTTTCCCACGAATGGTACTTGGGCAATTGTTTTACCTTGTGTTCGAGTTCAGGGTCAGATACCTGTCGCTATAACCAGACGAATTTTATATACTTTGAACATAGGCTTTAAAAACATTACGTCACTCGGGATTAAAACAATATTTACTGCTGATTACGTCACATTCTTCAAATATTAAAGATGCTTATTTTGTAATCATTAAACGAAACTTTTATCTATACCGTACAAGGGTGTCCACGGGGGGAGGGGGGTCAAGAGGGGCACGTGTGTCCCCCTGGAAAATGAGAAACATAATTCTTTATTTATTCATTCGGCATATGTATGTGAATTTTTTATTCAATTCACATAATTCCGCCCCCCCCCGGGAAACTTTGCCCCTCCTTGGAAAAATTTCTGCGGACGCCCCATGGCTATACATACGGATTAATTACGCTAGCCGTCCCAAATTTTGAACTGACAGACAAGAGGGAAGGGCACCCACTTTTGGGACTAGGCAGTTAATCAACAGCACCCATTTCTGGGACGACTCTAATTAGATAGTGAAATTTGATCGTCGCTCTTATAACACCTACGGGCCTAAAGTATGGAGTGCGAGTTAGGTTTTATTCCCATGTTTATAATTCAGGAAACAGATATGTCTTATGATAGAAGACAGCACACTTGTAGAGCAGAAAATACGTAGTTAAGGAAAACACGTACACTTATACATAAATATATTGTGATTTGAAACAACGGGTTTCTTCGGAAAGAAATTTCTACAGCACATATGAAGTAAGAACGATTAATCATGTAAATTCCTGTACACGAACGATGTTAAGTTTGTTTTTTTTCGTCAATGACAAAGTGTAGTTTTGTTTCTCCCTCTTAAAATTAGATGAAAACCCATCTTCTGTTCTGAGCCCGCAGAAATGGGGACACTAGATTAAAGTTGTCCCACATAGTTAACGCCGAATGGCCGTATGTAGTAGATGTAGTGTTATGTTACGTTTGGTCTCCAACGTACTTCACAGTGACAGCGACATTTGGTTTTTCTGGTCAACCTACGTGTAAAACGTCATCTTAAGTCTGAGGTTTTATCAGTATGTATCAGCTGG